ATACGAGCTTCACAGCAACCCGGAGAGGAAAAGACTATTATTCCTATTTTACAATTGAGGAAGCTGAGGCACAGAGGTTAAATGACTCACTCATGATCACCTAGCTAGTCAGTGTCTACGACTGGCTTTGAGCCCAATCAATGCTCTAGCACTGCACTAACAGCTCACAATCAAGGTCTCTCCTCTGCTGTGGGTTTGGGTTCCCATCTGCTGGCTTCCTCCTAATTGTGGGGACCCAGTGACTAGCACTCCAGATCCATTTAACCCCTCAACACTGGGTACCTTTTCAGAGCAGTATTCATGTGCAAACATTTCTCCCAATACCTCAGGAGCACAATCCCCTCCCCCATCCACCTGAGTGGGAGTTACCTTAGCTGGCCTCAGCTCAGTCCTACAAAGTCTGGGTCTCACCAAGTTCATGACCAAGGCCAGTATGGTTGCTGGCTTGTGCCGGGACATAGTCCTGGCCTCTTGCTTCTCAGGACAGGGCTATTGAGTTGGCTGAGCACCTGACCTGGATTCCTGGACCCCAAAACCCTTTCCTTTGTACTCTTGACCTGGATTAAAGGCTCCACTCCAGGCACCTAGAACAGAAGAACAAAAAAGCCCAACCTCTAGGCCCATTTCTCAGGGATCAGACAACCTCTGAGAGTGGGGGAGGGGAGAAGGAGGCCCTGCCTCCCCTCTCCCTACCCCCACGCTGCAGGCCATATGGTCTCCCTGGCCAAGGAGGGAAGGAGCCACCCTGTTCCTTCAGAAATGAATCCAGACAAGCAATGGTTAGAGCTGAGGCAGGTCTTTGGGAAGATGCCCATGGCGCTGGCCAGGCAGCCAATCAGAAAGGGCTCTTGGGAGTCACAGGTGACCTTGCCTCAGGCCCAGGATATCTAGGGGTGCACTTCCCTCACATGCCCTCCCTCAAAGCGGCTTCCCAGCCCTTTCCAAGGGCAGATACAATCACTTTGAGCAGCAGATAAGCTCCGCACCTCCTGCACAATCCTAACGGGAAGTCATAGCCATATGTATGGGACCATCTTGGACACTAGTCTGTGAAGTTAGCCCATGACTCAGGAAGGCTGGTTCCCTCTGAGGCCGGGTCACCATCTGGCTTTCTGTCCAAACTCACCCAGAGCCCAAGGAATAGACTCCTGGCCCTGGAGGCCCCCAGCACATGTTGTCCCCAGCCCCCCTCCAAATCCTTCAGTCAGAAGCGGCAGAGAGTTGTCAGCACTGGCCCATGGGGCTGGGGAAGGATGACTCCTCAGTACCTCTGCTGATGGAGGGATGTCCCTCATCATCCATGGGGATGTCCCCATGTCCATGGGTCATGAGCCTATCCCAATTGGCCAAGGCCATCAGCCCCTTACCTTGGCACACTAATCATTTGGCTTCCTAGAATTCAGTGGGTCCTGCCTGCCGTGGCATCCATTGTGTTCAACAAACCTACTCCTAGTGAGTCATCTGGCTGAGGCATGTGGCAGGCATGATGCCCCTGCATTCTCTGCCTGGAGCCCTGCCTCCTTGTCTGACCATGTGGTCGGGGGCAGGTATGGGGTCACCCTCTTCATCGAGCTCCTATGAGGAGTAAAGAGCCCTGTGCTTGTTGTCTGCCCCTCACTCTCTTCCTGGGGTTCTTCTTCCTGTCTCTCCTGCCATTCTTTGGGAGCTATTTCCTTTTCTGTGGCTCTTGCAGCATCCCCCACCCCCACCCCCAAACCCCGACATCCAATAGAGACAAATCTCCTAATATTGGGACTATCTAAGAAGGGAATGGGCTGCCTCGAGGGGTAGTGAGTACCAGTCAAAGGGCAAACTAATGTCTGAAGCCCCAGTGATGTGACAGGCACTGTGCCAGGGGCAGGAGGGGATGGGTGGTACGAGTACAAAGGACAGAACAATTCCTATTCCAAAGGAGCTCATGTTGTAATGGGGAAATGAAGTGCATATGCTGGGCATCCCAAAGTCTTCATCCAGCTTTAGGCCATTAAAGTATAAGTCTGTGACTCCTTGTTAATTTAATTAGCATGTTTGGGCCCAGGAGCAAGAGAAGCTCTCTGTGGCAGGCTCCTCTGCCCCTGGTAGCTCCTGGCCTCTTTGTGGCTAAGATTCAGATTTCCGAAAACATTTGAGGATGAAGCAGTATATGCCATATTGCAGGGTCTGTGGATAGACACAAAGTGTGCAGGGGAAGTGGGGGAAGGGCACAGCGTTTCCCTTGATCCTTGGAGTGATGGCTACATCTGGTGGCCTAACTCCGAACCTTCTGCTCCAAGATGCCTCAGGACCATTGGCCCTCCTTGATCTCCCAGCTTCTCTGGCTTCTCTTTACCCTCAACACTTCCAGGCTCAGGCAATCTCTCTAGGTTCTGAAATACTTCCTCCCTTTTATACCAGTTGTTTTGGGGGAGGGGGCTGACCAAGCCTTTCTATTGATGGCTTTGATTGAGTCTAGGAAGCGTACAGGCCCTGTTCACACCCATTTCTGAGTAATTGGTTCAATCAAGAAGGGTTATCTAATAGAGATAATTACTTTTAAGTGAGTTCAGCTTAATGGTTCCACCCATACAAGTACGTACAGAAGAAATGCAAGGTAAATAAATATAAATATATACAAAGTAGTTAAATATAGTCAGTTCTGCTGTAATACTTGTTTGAAAATGTGATTTTGTTCCAACATGATTGTTGCATTGTTCAATTTTGCCCACCAGGTGAATGCAGAAAATGGCATCCAGGCAAATGAAGCCAGTAAGAATCCACAAAATACATATATCTCAAACAGCTGCAGGCTGTGTTTGCTATTCTTTGCCATTTGTGAATATGCGTGCAACATATACATATATACACAACACACAATACACACATATGCATACACACAACACATACACGCGCACATCACATGAGTATGCAAGTGCATAACGCTCGCATGTACACACACATATAACACACGTGCGCAATGCACCTATAACAACGCACATGTATGCATATGTACAACATGTATACACAATATACACATGTATATATGCAGCTGTGTGTACATATACTATGCATGCAAATGTATGTGTACATGCATATGTAATAACATAAATATATACATGCACATGCACGGTATGCATATGCACACACATGGATGTGTACACACAACATATACACATGCATATACACACCTGCACCTGCATTCTACATCCCAAACATGTCTAAGCATTCTGGTTCAAAAGCGTCTAGCAAGGCATGCAGGAGGAAAGTGTCAAGCTTTGAGGAAAAGCTTAGCATTAACTAAAGATCTTTGAAAGAAACAAGAGCATATGTGCTAATTCCTGAAGAAGCAGCAAAAAAAAAAATTAATCTGCACTGTGGCCCAGCAGAGACGATGCTGTGATGATAAAGGACCCCTCCGTGGCTGGCAGTGTGGTGACCTGACCCTATTTCCCCCACAAGCCTGGTGGGGCTTCATTGCATGATCTTGCCTCATGTGGTGATGTTTAGGAATCCATATGGCCATGCTAGGGGGGAGCTGACTCTACCTAGTTGGGTAGAGAGGGTGCTAGGGGTCGTGGAGGTAAGGAAAGCCTTCATACAGAATATTGTGCGGGTTGGAGCTCAGTCTGAAAGGAAGGACTCTGGTAGAAGTGAGGAGGAAAGGGAGTGCATTCCAGGCTGGTGGAGCAGCCAGTATACAAGAGAGATGAAGTGGTATGTCTGAGGTCCAGAGAGGATAGCTTGGCTAGAGGGCAGGTGGATGAGGGGGAGTAAAGCCCAATGAGGTTGGAAAACCTTTATGCCAGGTTGTGAAGGGATTGAAAAGGAGCCAGAGGAATGAACCTTCGATTCTAGAGGCAATAGAGAGTCACTGGGGTCAGGCTGAGTAGGAGAAACACACCTTCAGGGCAAGAGAAGAGTTAGGAGCATCGTTTTGGTTGGTTAAATGTTGGGGTTCCCTTAGAGCTAATTAGATTATCTTGGTTTTTGCCCATCTTTGTTGAAAATGTTTCTCTTGCTGAATTGGGGATCTTTCAAAGGGGTCCCTAGTCATGTACAACAATGTGGGTGGCAGCAGATGGAAGACTAGGAGACTGGGCTGCAGGAATGCTGGCCCCAGGACATCCAGAGAGTTACTTTCTTGAAAACAAAATCCCTAACGCCCAGGTGTTTTTTAAGGTCACAGGAATCTCTCCTCTTTTCTTTCCTTTCCTTTCACTGAATTATATAAAAGAAGAGATAATCTAAATCCCTCTTTCTACAGAGGAAGAAACTGATGTCTAAGGGCATCAGTGACTTGACTCGTCCCTTTATTTAACCCTTCACCTCACTCTCTTGTTTCTTTCTCTTTGAAGGGAAGTTCAGGCAAAGCATGAGGTAACTAGTCATTTTCTGGATTGGTCCAGGTTAATCAAAGTTCTTAGATTCTCAGTACAAAGAAATATTGTATCTTAAGGCTCACGATTCCTACACGATCCTTCCTTAAATTAGGTAAGCTTTGAATTTGAAAATGATTGAATGGTGATGTCAAGATTCAATTCCATTACAAGCATCGATGAAGACGGGCCTGCTGTGTTCCAGGTGCTGGGCTTGGTGCTGGGGAGCTGGACAAGATACAAATGGGCTCCATCTTAAGGGAGCTTTTAGGGGGAGTGCATGGCGGCGTGGTATTCACAGCGTGTACTGTCTTACACAAATACAAAGTACAGACAAAGTAACTTCCAGGAAGAAGGAAGGAGTGCTGATCACTCTGAAACATTGTATCTTTAAAACGCCAAAATGAAAAGCAGGGCCAGGCTGGTTCTCTCCCCTCTCCCTCCCCTACCCAGTTAAGGGGACCTCGCTCTTTGCTGGGCGTCCCAGCTCGGAGAGCCTCCAGTGAATGATTGGGCTGGCTAGCTAAAGGCCCAGAGACTGTCTAGTCTGGCAGGACCAGGCCGCTGGCCCTCCTCTGCTTCTGTCTCCTCCCCTTCCTCCTCCTCCGCCCCCCCCTTTCTCTCTCCTCTCCCCTCCGTCCTCCCCTTCCCTGAGGGCCAGGGCCAGGTAGGGGGCGGGAGAAGAAGGGGAAGGAGGAGTTCCAGGCTCAGCCTCTGATGCCACAGTCTCCACGGCAACTCCCCCAGGCCAAGCCAACCGACAATAGGCTGCTCTCCCAGGGGTGCTGCTGCTGCTGCTGCTGCTTGCTGGGCCGCCGCTGCTGCTGCTGCTGCTAAGACGGTTTGAATCCCTCCTAGAGCCTAGGTTCTAATGGCCTTTGGGCGCAGGCACTGTGTGAAGCCGTTCTGAATGACTAGCACCAAGGTCAGGGAGAGCTCGCCCAAGGAGACTGCAGGGCTAGGCATGGAGCACCTCTTTGTGGAGGAGGTGGCGGCGTCTCTGGTCCGGGAATTTCTCAACAGAAAGGTAATTTCTGCACCTGGGGTCTGTCCCCCAGCCCACCCCACCCTGGGGGGTGCCCAGCTCCTGGGGAGCTACAGGTGGGCGTGGGTTGGGGGCACGGATATTGGGGGCCAGGAGCTCAGCGAGCAACAGTCAGCGAGGCAGTCCTGGCCAGGGAAGCAGGGATCTGGCCACTTTGGAAGGCTTCCTGTAACTTCCCAACAAAGCGCCCCACCACAATCGCTGGGGAAGAGGCTGGACTACATCTCCCGTGAGTCACTTCTTTAAACAGTAATTTCCTTCATACATTGAGTCCTGGATAGTGCCTTCCTGGCTCAGAGCTATTTACAGTCTCTCTCCTGGACCTCCAGCAATCAGGAGCAGCCACATGGCTGCCTCTTGTTTAGATTAACACTCTCGAGGAAGGAAATTTCTGACTTGCCCTCAGATAGGGGGCTGCCCCTCTGCCATCTCCAAAGAGGCAGGAGATAGGAGGCTACCCCTCTGCCATCTCCAAGGAGGCAGGAGATAGGAGGCTGCCCCTCTATCCATCTCCAAGGGGCCAGGAGATAGGAGGCTGCCCCTCTGCCATCTCCAGGGAGGCAGGAGATAGGAGGCTGCCCCTCTGCCATCTCCAAGGGAGCAGGATGCAGGCTTACACTGAGGCCAAGTTTGTCTGCTGGTTCTAAACGGTGAGATAAAGAGCCCCAGTCAATCAAGTCTCAGTGTGCCCAAGGTTAGTAGAGTCTGGTAACTGGGCTTTTCTAGCCCTCTCTCCAGCCTCCTCCTCACCCTCTCCACCCTTACCCCTGCCCCTCTCCCCCCACAAAGCTGGACAAAGTGAGAAGGAGCTCTGCAGAGTGCCCTCACAGCTCCTTGGCCAAGCATCCCCGGGTATAAGCTTGTTTGTTGCCACAGCCCCAGGTAGTGCCTTCCTCCCCTGGTGGGTCCTTCACCAGCTCTGTGCTGCCAGGCCTCTGGTGATGGCCAAAGCAGCGACATAGCAACATGAATTGAAGGGCAGAGGAGCGAGATGGTGGCCTGCTGGTGCCTGCCTTGGAGGGAGCCTCACTTTCAATACCACTCCATTCAGTAAGCATTTATTGCGTGCCTACTGTGTGCCAAGCATAGTGTGGATTTTCAGGCTCTGTTCTCAAGGGCTTCCACTGGGGGAGGGAGGCCTGCTGGCAGAAGACCTAGGCTCAGGCCTTGTTTCTGCTGCATAAGCAGTCGATGCAGAGGCCTCGAAGCAGTGATGGAGTAGAAAAGGTGCTGGCTCTGGAGTCTTAGGGTATGAGTTTGATTGCTGGCTCTACTAGGTACTAGCTGTGTGATCTTGGGCATGTCACTGCAGGGAGCCTCAGTTTCCTCATCTGTAAAATGAGGGAGGTGGATCCAATGGCCTTGAAATCCTATGATAAGTGAAGGTTGTCCAGGGAGGGTGACCAGGCTGGTGAGGGGACTTGAAACGATGTTATAGTTTGGGTTGCAAGCTCGGGCTCCTTAGTCTTGAGGAAGACGTGATCATCAATGGTCTTTGATTGTTTGAAGGTCTCCGAGTGTTCAGCTCAGCCGAGATTTGTTCTGTTCTTTTCTGGTTTTTGGAGGAAAGAACCAGGACCACAAGGGAGAAGATGCTAGGAAGCACACTTCAGCTCTATAGGATTTAATGTCACCTTTATTAAGGTGTCAAACCTTGCACTTACAAGATGGAAAGATATGGCACCCTCAAGCCAACGATGAGAACCATTCAACAAGGGGATGGGAACCATTCAACAAGGGGATGGGCTGCGATTCTATGTAGTGACTGCCTGGGCCGTGGAATGCTCTCTTTTCTTTCTTCTTCTTCTTCTTTTTAGACTAGGTCTCCCTATCAAATGGGGGCTGGAAGTACAGGGTCTCCTCCCAGCCTCAAACCCTCTCTGCTTGTCACAGGACCTCTATTTTATTGGAACTTTCCACAGAACATCTTCCATGGTGCTGGTAAACCCTTTTGATGAGCGTGAATCTTCCTTCTTTACGCCTCTCTTTCTATTAATACTCAGAGCATCCTTGAACAGTTATCTCTGGTTGGGTCTGCCATGAAATCTTATATGATCTTAACCCAAAAGGAGAGTCTCCAAGTCTTGTCTTTGCTCCATTGAGTCAAAAAGGCTTTTTTTTTCAATCCACAAAGACAGTAACTTATATTCCCTATACCTGTCAGTTGACTGTGGGCCGAAGCCTATGTGGTCTAGTGTAGAGAATGAATGGCCAGTATCTGTCTTTTCCCTTCTCATGTTTCCAGTAAGGATGCCATATATAGACTATTCTCATAACGATTTAAAAAATGTTTTTGGTTACATTTTGAGTTCTGTGTTCTCTCCTGCCTTCCCTCCTAATGCCACATTAAAGAAGGCCAACATTTGATATAGACACGGAACCATATAGTACATATTTCCATATATAGTTCTTTCTCTGGAGGTGGAGAGCATATTCATGGTTGATTTGAATGTTGATATTACTCAGAATAGCTCAATCATTCACAGTTACTCTTCAAACAATATCGCTGTTACAATGTACAATGTTCTCTTGGTTCTGCTCATTTCACTCTTCATTATTTCGTGCAAGTCTTTCCATGTTTTTCTAAAATCAACCTGCTCATCATTTCTTATAGCACAGTAGTATTCCATCATAATCACATACCACTTGGTTCAGTCATTCCCCAATTGACAGACATCCCCTCAATGCCCAGTTCTTTGCCACCAGAAAGAGACTTGCTATAAATAGTTTAGAACATACTGGTTCTTTTCCTTTTTCCCTGATCACCTTGGGAAACAGACCTAGTGGTGGTATTACTGGGTCAAAGGGTATACACAGTTTTATGACTCTGGGCATAATTCAAGATTGCTCTACAATAGGCCCGCACAATATACAGCCTGTGAGCTGCTGGGAGTCCGCCAAAGGATTTCAGGTAGCCCACGAAAAATGTAGAGGATTTAAAGAAAGTAAAGATGTAACGAGTGCTTTGTCTGTGCCTTGCTTAACCCACCTTCCACTAGTCACTATCGTGCCCATCATGTAACTTGGTGGGTGGGTTGTCACTATGCTCTCTGTCACTTGACCTGAGGTAAACAATCATTGTCAGTCTGTCTTTAGTCTGATTTCATGATAAATAAAATCTTAGGGAATAAGTGTAATTAATTGATATCAATTGAAATTTCTCTTTTTTATATGGTTTATTTGCAAAATAGTTTAATCATTAATTATACCTTTACTTACAAAGTAAGCCACTAAAAACCTATCTGCGACCTGAAGAAGTTTAACCGGTTTTCATTTTGGCTCCTACCTACTGCCAAATTGTGCAGGTCTGCTGTACAGAATGGTAGGAACAGTTCACAACTCCACCAACATTGTATTAGTCTCCCAATTTTCCCACATCCCCTGCAACATTTGTCATTTTCCTTTTCTGTCATATTAGCTAATCTGATAGGTGTGAAGTGGTACCTCAGAGTTGTTTTAATTTGCATTTCTCTACTCAATAATTATTTAGAGCATTTTTTCCATATGACTATGGTTTTGATTTCTTCTTCCAAAAACTTCCTATTCATATCCTTTTTTTAAAAGACACTAATCTTAAAGTTTTCATTTCATTCCTGTTGCTTGTAGGTATTTTGGTGCAGTAGACAGAGGTCTGGATTTGGGTTGGACACAGATTTTTTTTAGAGTTTCTTTTTTTAATTAATTAATTTATTTTTAGTTTTCAGCATTCACTTTCATAAGATTTTGAGTTCCAAATTTTCTCTCCATCTCTCCCCTCCTTCCACCTCAAGATGGCTCTAATTATACATTGATACTGAACCTATTTTCACATGTCTTGTTGTAAAGAAGAATTAGAACCAATGGGAGAAACCACGAGAAAGAAGAAACAAAAGAAAAAAAGAGATCAAATAATGTGCTTCGATCTGCATTCAGACTCCATAGTTCTTTTTCTGGGTGTGAATAGTGTTTTCCATCGTGGGTCTTTTGGAGTTGTCTTAGATTCTTGCATTGCTGAGAAGAGCTAAGTCTAGCAAAGTCACTCACTGCACAGTATGGCTGTTACTGTGTACAATGTTCTCCTGGTTCTGCTCATTTCACTCTGCATCAGTTCATGTAAGTCTTTCCAGGTTTTTTTGAAGTCTGCCTGCTCATCATTTCCGATAGCACAGTAGTATTCCATTACATTGATATCCCATAACTTGTTCAGCCATTCTCCAATTGATAGGCATTCTCTCGATTTTCAATTCTTTGTCACCACAAAAAAAGCTGCTATAAATAATTTTGTACGTGTGGGTCCTTTTCCTGTTTTTATGATCTCTTTGGGATATAGACCTAGAAGAAGTATTGCTGGGTCAAAGGGTATGTACATTTTTGTAGCCCTTTGGGCATAGTTCCAAATTGCTCTCCAGAATGGTTGGATCAGTTAACAACTCCACCAACAATGCATTAGTGTTCCAATTTTCCCACATCTTCTCCAGCATTTATTATTTTCCTGTTTTGTTATGTTAGCCAATCTGTTAGGTGTGATGTGGTACCTCAGAGTTGTTTTGATGAGCATTTCTCTAATTAATAGTTATTTAGGGCATTTTTTCATATGACTATAGATAGCTTTAATTTCTTCATCTAAAAGCTGCCTGTTCATATCCTTTGACCGTTTATTAATTGGGGAATGACTTGTATTCTTATAAATTTGACTCAGTTCTCTATATAGTTTAGAAGTGAGGCCTTTATCAGAGACACTGGTTTTCTTTTCCAGTTTTCTGCCTTCTTCCTAATCTTGGTTGCATTGGCTTTGTTTGTGCAAAAACTTTTCCATTTAATGTAATCAAAATATCCATTTTGCATTTCATAATGTTCTCTATCTCTTGTTTGGTCCTAAATTCTTCTGTTCTCCATAAATCTGACAGGTAAACTACTCCTTGCTCTCCCAGTTTGCTTATAGTATCAGCCTTTATACCTAAATCCTGTATCCATTTTGATTTTATTTTGGTATATGGTGTAAG